CATGGAGCACTGGGTGTTATATGCAAACAATGAATCATGGAACACTACATCAAAAACTAATGATGTAATGTATGGTGATTAACATAACATAAAAAAATGACCAGATTGTATAATTTTAAATGGTAAATTTTGTAGTGTGTGAATCATATCTTAACAAAAAAATGTTATATTTTGAGCCAAAAAAAAAAAAAGCCAGTATTACACAAACTTTTCTAGAACACAGAAAAAGAGACAACTCTTTTCAGCATAATCTTGATAACCAAAGCTTTTATGAGAGAGGAAAGTATAGGCCACTTAGGAGTACAGATGCACAAATACTATACCAAATATTGATGCATTAAATCTGGTGATTCAAATATCAGACAGTACATCACAATCAAATTAGGTTCATTCTAGTACTGAAATGTTGGTTTTAACCTTTCAGTATTAAATTAGTATTTACCAAATTTGATGATAAAGATGAAAAATCATATGTTTGTCCCAATAGATCTAGGAAAAATATCTGATGAAATTCAGCACCTATTCATGATAAAACTAGCAAACTGAGAATAAAAGAGAACATCCTTACTGATAGAAACTTCCAAAAAGCCTATGTAAACATCATACTTAATGGTGAAATGTTGAGAACTTTCCTTCTGAAATTGGGAAGGAGACAGAGTCTGCTTTCTTTATTTCTATTCAACATTGTACTTAATTAAGAACCTAGCCAACATAGGAAGACAAGAATAATATATAAAATATATAAGGCTTGGAGAGAAAGAAAGAAATGTGTTGTTATTCACAGATGACATATTTACATTTATATACTTAGAAAATCTAGAAGAATCTAAAGAGAAATTATTAGATGTATTGAGTTAAAGTTGCTGGATACAAGTTCAAAATATAAACATCAACAGTAACAGAAAATGAAAAAAATTTAAAGCAACTACCATTCTTAGGGCTAAAGCTAATAAAAGATGTGCAAAACCTCTACACAGAAAACTGTGATACATTTTGAGAGACATTGAATAAAATACAAATACATATAGTATATACAAATTTCTTCATACAATAGAAAAGACAATATTATAAAATGTCAGTTTTCTTCTAGTTGATCTATAGAATCAGTGCAATTACAAATAAAATTCTACCTTTTTCCCCCTGGGAAATTGAGAAACTGATTCTGAATTTTAATGGAAATGCGAAGGGCTGGCATTAGCCTAGGTCACCCTGCAGTCAAAGATATAGTTGGAGAATTTACTGTACTGGGTTTTGAGATTTTATTCATTTTATTTATATTAATTTATTTAAGCTTGATAAGTTCTTATAGATTTTGGATACTAGCCCTTTATCTGATACGTCATTTGCAAATATCTTCTCCCATTCTGTTGGCTGTCTTGGTTTTGTCGACTGTTTCCTTTGCTGTGCAGGAGCTTTTTATCTTGATGAAGTCCCAATAATTCATTTTTGCCTTTTTTTCCCCTTGCCTTTGGAGACTTGTCTAGCACGGAGTTGCTGCGGCCAAGGTCAAAGAGGTTGCTGCCTGTGTTCTCTAGGACTTTGATGGATTCCTGTCTCACATTTAGATCTTTCATCCATTTTGAGTCTATTTTTGTGTGTGGTGTAAGGAAATGGTCCAGTTTCATTTTTCTGCATGGGTTAAAGAGACTTTTATCCACTGGATATTCTTTCCATTTGTTAAAGAGACTGTCTTTTATCCATTGGCTTTCCTGCTTTGTCGAAGATTAGTTGACCATAGAGTTGAGGGTCCATTTCTGGGTTCTCTATTCTGTTCCATTGATCTGTGTGTCTGTGCCAGTACCATACTGTCTTGATGAATACAGCTTTGTAGTAGAGCTTGAAGTTGGGAATTGTGATGCCTCCTGCTTTACTTTTCTTTTTCAACATTCCTTTGGCTATTCAGGGTCATTTTTGGTTCCATACAAATCTTAGGATTGTTTGTTCTAGCTCTTTGAAAAATGCTGGTGGTATTTTGATAGGGTTTGCATTGAACATGTAGATCTGTCTGGGTGGCATAGACATTTCAGCAGTATTTGTTCTTCCAATCCATGAACATGAGTATATATAAAATGTAAATGTAGAAATGAAAATAAAAAAGACTTAAAAAAATTGATAAAATAGCTGAAAAGGAAAAAAAATATAAAACTGAAAGACTGTAGAATAATAAGAATGCTATATACTGTTTTCCCCAAGAGCTGGAGTTTTGCAGCTCTCTGTGAAACATGGGATTAGCTGGATGTTTTTGCTGGTCTTCTGGGGGAGGGGCCTATTGTGCTGATTCTCAGGTGTCATTGCCCTGGCAGAATTGCATCCCCCTTTTGCCAGCAGTCTGGGCTCAGTGTAAGTGGCCCCCGGTTGTACTATGTGGCTATTTTGGTGCCTGAAGGCTTTCAGCACCAATGGGGGGAATGAAAATGGTGGCGCCCTGATCTCTAACCCCAGAGCTAAAAGTTTGAGGGCCCCCGCCCACTCTTCAGTGAGCCCTCACAGAAAAGCAGTTAATCACTCTTGTCTCCCTGATTTTCATTCACACTCTGTGTTCACCCAGCCTGTGACTGAGCGTTATTATCTCAGGTATGTGACCCCGACCCCGTCTGGAGTCTCCAAAGTTTACAGACTCGTGTGGTGTGCACCTGCACCGTTCTTCCCAGGGGAGGTAGGGGATTCTCCCTGTGGGTCTGCCTCTTAATGGACCCCTGCTCAGAGAGCAGTCGCCCAACCTCACAGTGGTTTGTGGTTTATGGCGACACTGAGCAGAAAGCCAGTGCTTGGACTCACTGTTTTTAGCTGGCTTCCCCGCTCCAGTGCTTGGGAACTCTGCCCCCTTTCTTTTTGTGACCCCGGGGATCTTGAGGCCATGCTGTCCCACCTGGGATTCTGCCCCACTTTGACACCTGAGCACCTTTCAGGCAGACTTCTAAAAGTTCTGATTTTGTGCTCTCCAGCTTATAACACTTTCCGGTACCTGGCTTATGGAGGTTCCCTCCCCCTGTAGTTTATCTTCAGATATATCACCTCGGATTCACTTCTTCGCACCTCCTACCTTGAGAAAGGTGGTCGCTATTCTATTTGTAGAATTGCAGCAATTCTTTTCTCACATCTCCAGTTGATTTCTCAGGTGTTGAGAATGATTTGATAACTAGCCAAATTCCAGGAACCAGACGAAATTAGGGTCCCTTACACATCTGCCATCCTAACTGCTCTGGGAGAGAGAATCTTAGGCTCCACGCCCAGCGCCATGCCTGTCGTGGGGCTTGGTCTTACAACCCTGAGATCATGATCTGAGCTGAAATCAAGAGTTGGATGATTAACCAACTGAGCCACCCAGGCGCCCCTTGAGTTTTATTTTAGAGCTACAGCAGTGTAAGTTAGTTTGGTATTGTTACAAGAATAAACATCAATATAACAGAGGAGAGACTCCAGAAAAAGACCCATGCTCTAAAAGGTAATGTTAGAGAATATCTTCCTGACCTATGGTAGGAAAATAATTGCTTAAAAATGACACAAATAGTATCAGTCTTAGGTAAAAGAGTCAGAAGTTAGACTACCTTAATATTAGGAATTTATGTTCATCAAAAGATTCTATTCCATTAGGAGAGTGAAAACGCAAGTATATATGTACAGCACATATAACCAAAAAAAGGCCCATATCCAAAAGATGTAAGGAACTCCTTCCTATCAAAAAGAAAAAGGCAGGAGTGTTTAATAGGCACTTGGGCTAGAGTCTTGAATAGGCACTTCACAAAATGAGAATGGCTAATCATATGAAAAAGGGCTGAAAATCATTAATAATCATCATATTAAAACAAAAATGAAGCCATTACACAACATCAACCAGAATGGCTCAGGTTAAAAAGAAAGAAAACCCCAAATGGACAATACGAGGTGTAGTTGAGGGTCTGGAGCAAGGAGAACTCATATACACTGTTGGTGGGGAGTGGCAACCACTTTGGAAAACAGTTTGGTGTTATATACTAGAGTAGAACATATGCTTATCCTGTGACTCAGTATTTTCACTCTTCGGCTTATCCTCAACAGAAATGCATACGTATGTGCAGAGGACATGAATATAAATAACAGCATATAATTTGGAAATCACCCCAATGTTCTTAAACTATAGATTGGATAAATAAATATGCATGCAATAAAATATTCTTCAGTAGTGACCTTGGAGAATGACAGTAAATGTATTGCAGGTTCATTCTGCAATATGAATGAACCTAGTAAACCAAAGTACAAAAGAAGTCACAAAATGGGCGCCTGGGTGGCTCAGTTGGTTAAGCGACTGCCTTCGGCTCAGGTCGTGATCCTGGAGTCCCAGGATCGAGTCCCACATTGCGCTCCCTGCTCAGCAGGGAGTCTGCTTCTCCCTCTGACCCTCTTCCCTCTCATGCTCTCTATCTCCCATTCTCTCTCTCTCAAATAAATAAAATCTTTAAAAAAAAGAGTCACAAAATAATAAATACTCTATGATTTCATTTATATGAATTTCATAATCAGGTAAAATTAAACTCTTAGAAGTCAAAGCAGTGGTTGCCTTGGAGCAAGGATAGAGTAGTGATCAGGAGGGGACACCAGGTAACTTTTAGAGACTAAAATTGTTCTGGGTAGATGGATGCAGGGGTCTTTGCTTTGAAATAATTAATCTGTACATTTGGTTTTATGCATTTTATTGTTTATTAAACTTAATAATAAAAAAGGTTTATTAAAAGAATGGTCATTTGGGGGCGGGGCTTGAGAAGGAATATTAGCACTATCTCTTGATCCTTAGATTCTCAACTTTACTAACTTCTTCCCGTATAGTGAGAATAAAAATAGAATAAGACCCAAAAAACTAAATCACTAGGTTTTGCTGCTTTCTCAATGAGGAGTATAATGTAAAAATTATTAATTCCCAAGTCCTTCAGTTTAAAGTTTGTTCTTAAACCTTTTCAGTATCAGAATGGAATTTAATGATTATTGTTTGTTTTAATTAGGAGGTGCTAATGATGCTGGATAACTATGTAAGAGATTTCAAAGCATTGATTGACTGGATTCAACTTCAAGAAAAGCTAGAGAAGACAGATGCTCAAAGCAGGTAATGAATTCTGGTCTATAAGCAGCCAGCAGTTTCAAAAGCAGTAATTGAAACCGACAATGATCTTGACCTAAGTTTTACTTGAAACTTGTAAAAATCTAAAAGTTGGGAGCTGTATTTCTCCTTCAGTTCAGTAACAGATATTATTGGGTACTTACCTAGTGCAACGTACTTTTATCCAGTAGAGAGATTTAATTGCCGAATATGATACATTTACTACTCTCATGAATTTGTAGTCGAAGGGTAGGGTAAAATAGAACTTATTACCACAAGAAAACTATTGCAGGTGTTCAGGGCAGGACTGGGTCATCTCTCTTCTTGGGGATAGATCAGGAAATATTTCATGGAGGATGCAGAAGAAGTGTTTAAAAGATGTGATGGATTTTAACAAGTGGTTGGCCTTTTAGATGAGAGTAAGTTAAGACAGCTATTGAAGTGCAGAGCATGTGTGAAGTGAAAGTAACGTAGGGAAACGTATAGTATTTTCTTAAGGTCAGTGGGGAAAATTGATGATTTTTGATTAGGGGACTAATGAGAGATCAAAGTTACTTTAGAAACATTCACTTTTTTTTTAAGTTTTTATTTAAATTCCATTTAGTTAACATTTAGTGTAATATTAGTTTCAGGAGTAGAATTTAGTGATTCATCACTTACATATAATACCCAGTGCTCATCACAAATGCCCTCCTTAATCCCATCACCCATTTAACCTATCCCCCTGCCCACCTTCCCTCTAGGAACCCTCAGTTTGTTCTCTATAGTTAAGAGTCTGTTTTATGGTCTGCCTCTCTCTCTTCCTCCCTGTTCCCCATATGTTCATCTGCTTCGAGAAACCTTCATTTGGAATCACCACACAACATCTGAGTCCTGTGCACCAGACTCTGGGACTGTTGTGGAGAAGGGAACAGACACAGTCCCCGTCCTCATGAAGTATATAGTGCATTCACAGGAAAAATTGAATTAATTAAATACTTATCAGTGTACAAAGTGTCATGAAAATACAGTGTACTTTGGGAATATAAGGAAAAGCACCATCAACCAGTTTGCTGAATCCAGGAAGGCTTCCTCAAAGAGGTCATATTTAAGTGAGACAGAAATATCAAGTAGGAGTTGGCATGACAAAGAAAGAGTAAAAGAGTAACCCCAGGTAGAGGCAATGGTATATGTGATAACCTGGAAGTAGAGAGCACAGTAAGTAAAGGAATTTTGAGTTTAGTCATATTTAAGTGAGACAGAAATATCAAGTAGGAGTTGGCATGACAAAGAAAGAGTAAAAGAGTAACCCCAGGTAGAGGCAATGGTATATGTGATAACCTGGAAGTAGAGAGCACAGTAAGTAAAGGAATTTTGAGTTTAGCAGGACTGGAATGGAGAGAACAAGGGGAAGAGTAGCATGAGATGAGCCTAGAGAAGTAGGCTTGGACCAGATCATGTAGGGTTCTGTGGACATGTTAAAAACTTTAGACTTTATTTTGAGCCATAAAATATTTTTAAGTAAGGAAGTGACATATCAGAATTGTGATTTTAAAAGATCTTTCTGGCTGTAGCGTGGGAAGGTTGAGGTGCAGCAGTATAGTTTATAGATTATGGCTACTCAAACTAGAATAGTAGCAACAGGGAGAGTTGAGAGATATTCCAGAGATAGGTGATCAACTAGACTTAATATTATTTTGGTTATGTGCAAAGGCAGAAGCACAATTATTATTTAGTTATGCTTATAAGTGAAACCTGAGCCCTTGTGGGCTAGGCCAAGTCACATGAAGCTACAATCATACCTTTTCGCCCAGAGGAAACAGGCCTAGGCTGCCTCTTTCCCTAGGATTTAACTGTGGTTCAATTTCTGTAAGTGGAATTGTCCAGTAGAGAACTCGTTTTTTGTCCT